GCTAGTGACTCTATATAATGTTCTTGACTCAAAGTTAAAATGTTATCCTGTTCATAATTATACTCAATATCTATACCTATGTAGTTTTTAACTTTTCCTAAATCTTTCATTTTAAATTTATCTGATAATTTACATTTTATGTCAGCAATAGTGTTCTGGTCTTTACAACAAATCAAAAGATCATCTACAAATAATAAAATATACACAGCTGAACCATTATCCTTTTTGTAATACAAACAGTAGTCATATCTGGATCGTTTAAAACCAAGGCTTGTCAAAAAATCATTAAAACATTCGTACCATGCACGAGGGCTTTCCTTCAGACCATATAATGATTTATATAATAGGTAAACTTTATCAGTATCAGTTTCATATCCTATAGGCTGTTTTACATAAACTTCAGAAATAACTCTACCATTAAGAAAAGCTGTTTCTACATCCATCTGATTAATCTCTAAGGAATTTTGACAACAATATGACAATAATAATTTTAAGGTGGGCATCTTTGCTACAGGGGAGTAAACATCATCAACACAATCAGTTTGTTGGAAACCTCTAACCACTAACCTTGCCTTATATTCACTTTCACTTTTCTTCTTGTATACCCATTTCACATCTAATACCTTCTTGTCTTTGGGTGGTTTGTCGACTAATGTCCATGTTTTATTCTTCTCTAAACTTTCCATCTCTCGATCCATGGCTGCCTTCCACTTACTTGAGTCCTTGCAGGTAATCGCCTCCTTAAAAGTTTCTGGTGTTGTCGCTTCACAGTAGTTAGCAGTTATGCAATAGTATCCAAACTCATCATCAAATCGGAGTGGTGGTTGTCTTTTACGTTTGTTTAATTCCTGGGGGTTTTCAACTTTTATATCATTATTGCTCTTTACTCTATTTAAATTAGTCTCGTCTTCATGTTCTGTTATTTTCTTATTTCTATCTTTTTCTTCTTCTGCCTTAATGTCACTCTCATCTTCAAATCCACATATTTTCTCATCTTCTTCTATAATATTGCAGTGTCTGGCTGTAATAACTCTGTTGTTTATTAAGACTTTATATCCAGTATCAGTATAACCAAGTAAAATACCAGCTTCGGCTTTCTTGTCCCATTTAGACCTTCTCCGTTCTTCAGGAATTCTAACAAAAACTTTACTTCCATACATTTTTAAATTTTGGACAGATGGCTTCTTTTTGAAAAATATTTCGTACGGCGTTTTTCTCTCAATAGTATTAGTCAATGTTCTGTTCTTAAGATAAGCAGCTGTTTTAATTACTTCTGGCCAAAATCTTCTTTCTACCTTTGCTTCAGACAAAAGACATCTACTCATATCCATTAGTGTGCGATTGTATCTTTCTGCGGTTCCATTTAATTGATGAACATATGCTGGACAGGGTTTTATTATTATACCTTTCTCCTTTGCAAACTGAAAGACTCTTCCATTTATATATTCCTTCCCATTGTCACATCGCAATTCTTTTATCATTTTTCCTGTCAAGTTGTGTATTTCATTAACATATTGCACCAAGTAGTCATATACTTCATCCTTTGATCTGATGCAATAAACTTTGACTAATTTGCTGTAATCATCAATAAAACTCAAAAAATATTTTTCTGCATTATAACCTGTAGTCTGATGTGGCCCATTTAAATCTGTGTGAACAATATCCAATATCCCTTCTGCTTTTCGTCGATTATTATGAAATGGCAAATTATGCATTTTATTTTCAATACATATTGCACATTTTAAATATTCATATTCAATCTCTTTAGGTAATCCTTCTAATGATTCATTCTTGCACATAAATTCCAAATTTTTAAAATTAATATGTCCCATAGTACGGTGTAGTTTTTCCTTTACAGTCATATCATTTTTACTCATATTTGCTTCCAATATTTCTTCATACATGTAACTTTTCATTTTATACAGCCTTTCATCCTTAATTGCTATTGCCAAAAGCTTTCCATACTTATTGTAGATTTTTGATAATCTCCCACTTGAACTGATTGAGTGTTTGTCAGTAATTTTTGAATAACTCAATAAATTTGCCTTCATCTCTTTTACATAAAAAACATTTGTCAGAGTCACTTCAGATTTTTGTCCATAGACTAAGAAATAAGTTGTAATATCACCAATTTTTGTAGCTTCTAATAATGTTCCATCACCAATTTTAACTTTAACAGGGTTTTTTAAGGTCTCACAGGAATTGAAGTACTCATCAGTATTAATAATATGGTCTGTGCATCCACTATCTAATAACCAATTTATCTGACCTTTCTTTGACTTATCATTCTCCCTCATTGTACAAGTATTATTTGCAACGGTAGTATGAAAACTGTTACCAGGACTTCCTTGATTATGCTGATATTTTCCTGAGCTTTGTCCTTTGTTATTGTATGAACCACGTCCACGATAATTTGAAAAACCACGTCCTCTGTTATAGGAAAAATTATGTCCTCGACCACGGTTTACATATTCGGCTTTACAGTCTCTTCTCAGGTGGCCAGGTTTTCCACATCTAAAACAATTATACGATGGCTTGGCATCTACTTTGAAGGCATTTGATGTATCATTTGACGTTTCTCTCACATTTTCTGTATTTTTTAATTTTAGTTTACTTTTCAAATAGTCTACTGTTCTTTCACCCTCTGGTAAGACATCGATTAAATCACCTATGTAGTTGTAACTCACTGGTAGTGCTTTCAACATATAATTTAATTTTTCAGTTTCTGATACAGTAGCACCTGCATGTTTTAGCTCATTGACAGCTTTCTCAAAATCATCGAAAAACAGAGACACTTCGGAGTAATTTTTTAATTTCACACTTTCGAGGTTATGTCGACACACTATTTGCAACGCTGTCGATTTCTTCAAATACATCTCGTCGAATTTCTGTAATATTTCATATGCTGTATCAAGTTCACTTATATATTCCAACTGCTTGTTGGTTATTGCGCTGTATATGTAGTTTGTTGCTTGGACATCTCTGTCGTCCCACTCATCTTGGTCGGTTGCATTTTTCGCTCTCATTACAACATCCTTGCACCGTTTGAACTGCAGAAACTTGAGAATACGGATTTTCCAATTACTATAATCAGTGCCGTCGAATATTGGAATATTAATATCACTATTTTTAGTCGCCATTTTATTTTTCTTTGTTCTCGTTCGTTTTATAATTTCGTCACATTACATTCAATTTTTTTTATTTACCAACTTTTAAACCACGGTCTGCTACCATGTTAGTTTTATATTAAACCAATAATAATAATGCCTTTCAAAACACTATAACTTTATTTTAATACCTTTGGGTTTTTTATCTATCCGTCAGCCATATTTGGCAAAGTGTACAGATTTAGACACAGATAATCATAGAGAGAACTAGAGGCAGTGTTGCCAATATAAATGTATGTATAATACTTAACAAGAATATTAAGGATTCTAGTACAGATTAAATAGTAGGTAGCCTTAAATGTTGATTTATGGATATTATACAAAGAATCTTTAAAGCGGGTTGTTTCCGCAACTTCACACCAAGCGCCTATCTAGCGTACAACAGTAGAAGCTTCAGTCCTGCCATCCCAGCACCTCCAAGAAGGATTGTAGTTTCTTGATGTCTTTGCAATGGCTTACAGAAAGTTCCAATAACGTTCATTAAATAGTCATTAGTTTAAAGCAACATTACCCATACAAATTTGACGTTTATTCGAACTTAAACCCTAATGGACTTTTGTTCAACTGACCGCTAGTATCGTTAATATAACGATACTCAAAACGGAACTACGTATCACGGTTTGTTTGGAAGCTTGTTTGTTATTAGATGTGCACGGGAGGGGAGAGAGATGTTGCCGGTGCGGGTATGACGGGTGCATTAAACATTTGTTGTAATTTAATGCTAAGCGTTTATTAAAAAAATAATAGGTACTAATTATAATATTGATGATAATGATTTCCTAAAGAATGATACATATAATATAATATGCCAATAGAACTCAAAATGCAATTTTGTATGAAATGAGTCTTCAGTAAAGTAAATTTGTTCGATTGTATAAATTGAAAAATTTTTGTAATACTCTCTAATTTGATCTCACATTGCGGTGAAACTTATAATACCACTTTTTTGTATCATTGGTTAAAAATTAAAATACAATAAAGTTTATCAGAACTACCATAAATTCAGAGTGTTAATCCCAGTGGCATAACGTGGGTGTCTGAAGCCCGGGGCGGAAGACAATTTTGCTACCCCTCTTAATTAGGTGTTTCATTATAATTATACTACCTATATATCATATACGTTGATTTTAAAGAATTTTTCAGCAAGAACTGTCATAATTATTTTGGATTATACAAGTTAGATTGTGACTGCACAAAAACAAAAATAGATTTGAAATAAAAAAACTGGAAAGGTTTCATGGAGAAATCAAGAACGTACTGTAGCGACATCTAGTTTGATTTCGGGAACTAATGTTTTTTTTAAATACTTCCTCATTAGACAAAGCTTCTGTGGCTTAATATCACACTAGTACTAAGAAACAACGATCAAGTGCTTGTTAGAGTTTAAACGAAGAGCACATCGAGCGTGATCCTACCTCAAAAAGCCTAACGGCGGTCTGATTTGAAACGGCTTGCGCAAAGGTTTTGTAGTTTGTAAAAAAAATTTACACTTAATTTTGCAATTTTAATTTGACAGAATATATTTTTCACTTCATTTACATAACGAGGAAGTAGTTTAAAAAAAGCATTAGTTCCCGAAATCAAACTATATGTCGCTACAGTACGTTCTTGATTTCCTCATGACAACCTTTTCAGATTGTTTTTCAAGTTTAAAAGTACTTTAGTTTTCAATAAACAACATTTCATGACAAAATTTCCTACTCATATATTTAATTTTTTTTGAGCAATTCTTTCATTATTAATAAGACGCTCGAAAAGTGCTAAAATCGCCACAAACAGCGTGAAACGGGATAAACGGTCTTATGTTTTAAATAAATTCAACATAATACTTTTCTGCTTTTATTCTTATAAAATACACCTGTTTATATGATGCCGATTTTGTTGGCAACATCTAATGCGTCATAGTCCCTGGCAAGTCGAACGTACGCCTTCTTTTTGCCATCGGGCCTAAAACAAGATAATCAGAAAATTAATAAAAAATACATGATTAAACTGAAAAAAAGAACAATTTTTTTGATTAATTCAGAGATGTGTACTTTTTCTTTCACTATAATATCAATGAGATTCCCACAAGATATCATCATTTAAATAATTTTTTTTGAATAGAAATAAAACAAATTTAATTTCAAGCAATCATACCTGATGAGCGTGTTGACTTTAGCAACATTGATGTCGTAAAGTTTCTTGACTGCTGCTTTGATGTGGTGCTTATTTGAACTGGTGTGGACAATAAATACTAAAGTATTGTTGTCCTCAATTTTTTTCATTGCAGCTTCAGAAGTAAGTGGGTACTTAATGATGTTGTAGGCATCCATACTATAATATTAAAAAAGAAATTTATGAATAACAACCATCAACTTATTTTATTGAAATTGATAATATAAAGATTTAGGCTGCTAGGTGATACGAAAAAACCTGCATATACATGCATAATATGCAAGTTTTAAGTTTTTACAAAACCACTTGAAAACAGACAAAAACTGGGTGAGATTTCATTCCCTGCTGTTGAGTTGCATATTGTATTTCTAAATTAACCTTTAATTTCTAAATGGCAAATTTTGTCTATGAATAGATAATAACAATTAAGAAAAATGTGTCATCCTGGCCAGTGGTTGTTGTTTGGAGATTATATTGGGCATTTTTATTGGCTTTACAAGGATCTTTTCCTCAAGCCTTTTAGTTTGGAATAGAAAATGAACTTTTCTATTTTATCCCAGGTTAGTGTTACATAAGGTACATTTGTTGTTTCAAATTTCCTTAATACAAATGCTATAGCAACTTGGAATCTGAGAAGAATGTGATGATGTCTGATATTGGTAATAAATTATTATCATTTACTTAGTGCAGCTTAAATGTAAACAGATGATTAAAAGTATTTCAGTGATGTGCAATAATGATTAAAGAATAACACAAGTAATCAATCACACAATTTCATGAGCACAGTACCACAGGCTCATACTCCACAAGATTGGAATAATGGAGCTGAGGCTCTAGATTTGAGTTCCACAGAAGTTCCACAGAAAAAATTGAGTGTCAGAAATACTCCCATTTTAATTATTTACCAAAGATTTTTGTGTTGTGTTTACCTATGAAGTGTATCTTAGAAGTAAATTATTTCAATAACAAAATTTAAAAGTTAATTAAGAACTAATTAAATAATTTTTACTAACTAACAAGAATAATCAAGTAATTGCAAACAGATTATTGGTTGCAAGTAGTGAATAACATAAATTTTTTAACTCATGGTTTAACTCACCGATTCCTTTTTGGTAAAGATTTCCTGGGGTATTTAGGGTGCCGAGGAGGCTCAAAGGTTTTGGGCCTGCGGAAATGCACAGATGTGCGAATCTTGCGCACTCTTTTGCCATGTTCACCCTTTACAACCTGAAAAAATTACATTGCGTTGATGATTATAGTAAATGTTAATGATAAGCCTTTGCAAAAATATTAGTTATTTATTGAAATGGTTGTTGATTGTTGATATTCAAAGCAAAAACTTGGATACATAAAAAAATTAAAATCAAAGGTTAGGGAATAATTACCTTTCTTTGTGCCTTAAGGGCTTTGACTACGGGTTTGACAACTTTCTTTTGCCCTTTAATACCAGTTTTCTTAGGCTTAGGGGCAATCTTAAGTTTGGCAGCCACAGGTTTTGGCTTACTAGGTTTGGAAGCGGCCGCTGCTTTCTTTACTGAAGGCTTAGCACTGGACTTGGCCTTAAGAGCTGCAGCTTTAGCAGAGCCTGGCTTTGCAGTAGGTACAGCTGAAGTTTTCTTTTCTGCTGGCTTGGCAGCTGGAGCAGAAGCTGGCTTGGCTGCAGCAGGTTTAGCAGCTGGGGCCGCTTTAGGAGCCGCAGCCTTAGGCGCTGGTGCAGGTGTCTTTGCTGTAGCAGGCTTGGGTGCACTACTCGTAGACGCAGCTTTAGGTGCTGCGGCAGGTGTTTTGGCCGTGGCCGGTTTTTTTTCCGCGGGCTTAGCTCCGGCAGAGCCTGTTAAACAAGTGATAACACTATTATAACCTCATTCAAGTTGAATAGATCTCAGAAACATTTTAAGAAAAAACACATTAATCACAAATTCGTCAACCACTAAAAGTATATAAGATATTTATAAAAATACAAAACAAAATTATAAACCAGCAGCGTACCGCGTGGCTCAATAAATGTCACAAGTACAGTGACTTGTTACCGTGAAATTGCGTTACTTTCTAATGCACAAATTCGGAAAGATTTCTGCAATGACCCTTAGCAACATAAAATAGGGAGTAAAAATATAGAAATAAGGAAAAATCTAAATACACACCGGATTTCTCTGGTTGCTTCTTAGGAGGCATCGTGACAAAAAAGATGGAAGAATCACACAGAGTTGCTAGCTGTAATTTTTCAGAATTCCACAGACAGATAGTTATCTTCCAATGGCTTCCAATCGATTACTATTAATCGATTAATCATTTATGCAAATAATTAATACTATCGATTATGATTTCCCAATTAAAATATCTATAACAGTCGATCATATCTTACAACAATACAATTTGAACACGACAATTACAGAAACCCCAAATCCCTGACTAGTTTATAGTGATTTGTGCCCCAAATGAGAGAAAGTTTGATAGAAGTCCTGCAATGCCGTCTTGGTACTTTGGAAATCAAAAACAAACACGTAGCATGTCTTCTCGATCCGCATTTTAAAAAGTAACATTTATGTGCATTTTAAAAAGGCACAAGCGCTCAACAACGTTGCTTAAAAGAATTCTCGTTGACAACACAGAACAACCCAACTACAAGAGAACAAGAACCAACCCCGACGTCATCTGATCAAGACAGTAAAACTAACATCAATTTGGGACTACTTTGAACAAAAAAGCCAATTATCGTGCTACAACTACGAGAACTTAATTTCAGACAATTCTTAGAATTGCCACTGCTTGACAGAAATAGCGATCATTGCTTATATAGGCAAAGCATGAACGCGACAACCCCAATAGCCCTCTCGTTTGTATCAAATGCATTTAAAATATTCCAGTATACCAACCACTTTTGTGCCCTCCGAAGCTTTTTTTTTTCGAAAACTGGCATAACAACTAATATAAGAAGGAATTGGCATCTTCCAAAACATATTGAATATATAATATTTTTGAATGCCAACTGGAAACTGATTGCAAAGGATTTTTTTTTCTTTTTTGTAATATTGATGCTAATTTAAATAATTGTATAATTTATTGGTTAAAATAGTTATTGATTATTATGTTTTGTTACTCATTTCATTATCTACTAAGTTGGGTGCCTTATCCAAATATAGAAATAAATAAAATTGGAGTATCTTTTTGTAATATTAAAATAACAGTTTCTAACCACATGCACATTTATGTATACATGGGACATATACCAATATAATATTCTTCACATTTTTTTGTCTGTTTATTTGTTCCGACTAATCTCTGAAACAGCTGGACCGATTTTAATGGAACTTTCACTGGCAGATAGCTTAAGTAATAAGAAATAAATAACAAACGCTACTTTTAACGCATACGAAAACGCGGTTGCAGCTAGATTAATTCTATAAATTTTGGTATGGTAAATATTTTCTTAAAATGGTTTTTTTTATTAAATTTTCACAATAATAGATGTCTTTAAAATGCGATAGAATAAATCTAAAATCATTAGTAAACTTTTTTTAAAGTATGTACAGATGTTTCCGGAGATCAATAACGAAAAATAGAAAGATTATTAAACGACAGTGATTATGATTTCTCTAGAGACGACGATGACGACGAGTATTTGCCTCTAGAAGTAGTTTAAAATCCTTAGCAGCTGGAGGAATTTGTTGAAGAGGAAGAAGGGCCGTTTGAACAACATACGGAAGAAGTGGTCAAAGTTCATCACGATTGTTTAAGCGTAATTTTGCATGCGGTTTCACATTGAAACTCCTAGCATTTGCAGTAACAAAGTTTCAGACAAACTTTCATCCCCTAATTTCCCACCTTAGGGGTTGAATTTTATAAATAGCACTTATTAAGCACCTACGTCCTAAAAAGAACCCAATTGCAAGAAACTCCTAGCACTTGTAGTTTCTGAGATTTCGTGATGAGTGAATGACCTTTCGCTTTTGTATATATAGAAGTCAGTGGTAATTAAGTTTTATATTTATAATGATCTATACTAAAATATTAATTTCTTTTAAATAATTAAATATTAATAGCTAAATCATTTATATAGTTATTTATTCATCAAAAATCTTTTCTTAAACAATATAATTTTATGCCTTCATATTGGGCATTTATCGGGCAAATAAGATTTATTCCCAAAATGCCTGGGTTTTTCCCTATCTGCCCGTCGGGCGGAAACAGTTTGCCCATCTCTACCTGCAGCCTTTGAAATTTCGTCAATGGTGTAATTTTTTCGGACTGAGTTCTTTTTATCATAGAAAGGAGTTCAGGTTTAGTATTTTCTGGTGTAAAGACAACATTATGTTGGGGAAATCAATCTTGCATGACTTCTTCTTCTTCTTCTTCTTCTTTCAACTGACGTCTCCGCAACTCGACGACAAAATTGCGCCTGTTTTGCGTATGGAGGGTGTATGGCCGGATACTACTCCAGCCAACCCAGCTCTGCCAGAAACACTCCTAGCGCCTACACGTTTGCGATGGCCTCCTGGAGGTTACCCGGCGAGCCGAGGTGCTTTGCCCAGTAGTTGGCCACTCCGTTGCATTCCAGCAAGACGTGAGCGGCTGTTTCTTCTGCCGTCATGCATCCTCTGCACAAGGGGCTGTCAGTGACACCTAGATTGAAAAGGTGCCTGTTAAAGTTGCCATGACCAGTGATAGCACCTGTTACCAGGCGCAATAATGGTTTACTTAGCTGTAGGAGGGCCTTGGTAGTGCGAATTTTGCCTGCCTGCAGGTCTCCAAGGTATGCCAGTAGGTATTGTTGGTGTAGTTTACCTGAGTGGTCTTGTATCTTACCAATTAACCAGCTTACGGGGATAGGGATTATTGGTTCGGGGCCCATTAGTGTTGTGTCTGATCCCCTGCGTGCCAGTTCATCAGCTGCATAGTTCCCACGTGATCCACTGTGTCCTTTTATCCATTTTATAGTAATTGTGTTCTGTGACCCTACCATGGTTAGAACCTGGTGACACTTATATAGAAGACTCGATCTGACAGAGCTGCCTTTGGGAGCTTGTAAAACGGATTTGCTGTCCGAGTATCTACCGGATTATTGATCCTGTTACCTTCCTTGTTGCTATCGCTCTCGCCGCCATTGTAATCGCCATACACTCAGCCTGAAAGACTGTATTCTATGAGTTGAGGGGCAGGAAGAGGTTTATGTTGAGGTCCTCGGAGAATACTCCGGCTCCTGCTCCTGATGCGGTTTTGGATCCATCCGTGAACACTGAGGGCCTTGTAAGTTACTTTTGGATTGTCAGTGTCCATAAGGTGTATCTTGTATTTCTTATCGAAAATGAAGGCGGGTTCGATTCTGTCAAACGCCGCTTCTACAAGTAGGGTGTTGAGCCATTCCTTCAGTAAGCCATTGAGATGTTTGGTGGTCTCGAACCTTACCAATTTGTAATTTTTTGTCTTCATGCTGTGCCGCTTCCTGTCTAATGTAGATGTAGCGGTGTAATATTTAACATTAACATTAAATTTTATTATTTTTTTGCACATTATACTTTTTCCACTAACAACAACATTCAAAAAGTTTATTTTTAAAGAAATTTTACTGTGAAATTCGATACATGGCAAATGCTTGAAATTATATTCTGTGAGCAAAGCAATATTGCCTTTATTGACTCAACAGTTAATCTTTTTCTATCTTTTGGCCACTGCATATTCATGAGCGAAAAAAAAATCAATATTCGCATTATGAGACATAATACAAAAAAATACTGACAAATCTTCAGTAGTTCGGGAACGAGTGCTGTCATTGCATATATTGAAAATAATTACCCACTGCTTTTCAACTAATTCGTCATAAAAATAAATTTGTTAATAGAAAAAATTCTTCAAATAATTTCTTTGACATCGTCAATTAATACTCCTTTATTTTTCAAAAATACAACACCATCTGTGATGTGATCGTATAGTAGATTTTGCTTTAATAAGTAACCATTTAATTCAAGGGATCTTTATTGAGAAACAACAAAAAATGGGCGGAGTCCTGACTTAATATTAGGTCTTTACCTATGTCATTGCTGTTCTGCTGTACTAGCCATTTAAAATCAAACTATTTTTTTTTGGCTGATAATTCTAATATCAAATTATTTTTTCTAAAATCCTCATTTGTTCAATAGTAAGTGTTTTGTTTTCCATGCATTTGTATATTTTTCGTCGTCATGGATAAGTTAAAAATTCGAGTAATTATGGAGTATGTGTGCCATCGTGGCAGCAAAGCGGCACGCAACATTACAACGTTTGCAGAGCGAACACTACAAACGAACGCACCGCCCGTTATTGGTTTGCCCGTTATTGGTTTACGAAAAGGTTGCTGTTTGGTGGTCTAACGCGGATGTATTTCATCACAGCTTCTTACCAAACAGGACAAGCATTACTGCAGATTTACTGTGTGTATTGTGAAGAACTGAACACAATGACGGAGAAGCTGGCACAACTCCAACCAGGTTTTGTCAATCGTTCGGTTCCACTGCTCCTGCAGGACCACGTACGACCTCATACTACACAATTGGCGGTACCCAAGCTACAAGAGCTGGGGTTTGAAGTTCTCCGTCATCCGCCGTACTCAACAGACCATGCGCCTACAGACTTCTAATTCTTCCAGAATTTGGATAACGTCTTAGCAGGAAAAAAAAAATTCCCGAGAGGCAGTACAAAATGCCTTTGAAGTATTTGTTGCCTCCCGTCCAGCTGTTTTATTCAAGAAGGCTTCGTTAAGCTACCAATGCGATGGCAAAGATGTATTGATTGCATGGGTGATTACTTTGATTAATAGAAATAAGAAAATAAAGCTTCATTTATTTTATTAAAAACGGAAATTTCATAGATAAAGACTTAATTAATACTTCAAATCCGGTTGAGACCGGATTTATCCGATCAGATGGTAACTAATGGCGCATTACCAACAGTACCAGCAATACCAACTCTACGTCTTTTTAGGTACATCTACGTATTATAAGCCTTTCCTACAAACCAACGTACTATAATCAACCACAGAAGCTAAGTATTTTCTATTAAAATTTTTCAAATTAGCTTAACACACTAAAAGGGCATAATTTTCGGTAGTTCTGCAAAAAAAGTTTATATACGTTCCGTTACATACTATCGCGAATGTTCACCTCGTCACAAGTCACGCCATTAATTTTAAAAACCAAGTACTGTATTTATTTTTACCCACTCTCTTCATCTCACTAGGAAAAAATGAATTTTCAGTTCTCCGTAATTTTACGTCGCACGTAAAACCAGCTTTTTAAATAAATAATAATTTTATAATTAAATTTAAATAATTATTCTTGTTGTTATATTTCAGCAATTTTTCATTCACAATGCTATATTGAAAAAAAATATTATTAAAAAGGAACTAAAAAATTTAAAATAATTAAAACCTGATGTATTAAATATTTGCATTTTTATAAGTTTCATTGTGATTGACAAATAAATAAAACGGAGGAAAAGCGGGTGAAATTTAGCTTGTAAGATTTGAGTACAAACACAGAAAACTAAATAAAAGCTTACAAAAATTGTTTCTAATGAAAAATGCTTCAAAATCCACTTTGTCCCTGGAACCATCTGGTCTAAGCTTTAGGTTTTTGTCGTCTTTAATAAACATACTTAAATTCAATTCTTTTTTTAGAAAAGTATTTGTATTTATAAAAAGTATCTATAAGATACCTATTTTGTATCTAGTATTTCAAATACTTTTCTCGAAAGTATTTCGTATCTGGTATCTGAAATACTTAATTTAAAAGTATTTTGTATCTTGTATTCCAGATACATTGTACAGGGTATTTTGTACATCTCTGCACACTAACTAGTGAGATCGGGCGGTCGGGCACTCAAGATCACCCGATATCGGGACCCTAACACTCTAAGAGCGATTAGACTTTCCAATTTACAGTGTACCCGATGACTAAGCGCTCTGACACCCTAACAGCGATCACATTGCCCGATAAATCGGCCCTAACGCACTAACTAGTGAGATCGGGCGGTCGGGCACTCACGATATCGGGACCCTAACTCTCTAACAGCGATTATAATTTCCAATTTACAGTGTACCCGATAGATCGTGCCCGATAAATTGGGTAGTGAAATTGGCGCTTGAGTCAGCTTGACGTTCATTTATCTCGCCCGTCGTGCCGCTCACATACCTCAGGCGGAGACTAGCACTTCCGCGCACACTATAGTAGTTTTGGTAATAAAAGCCGTTTAATTCAGAATTATATTTAATCAAAATCTATTAGCAATAGACTGTCAGTTTTTACAATAAAAGATAGAAAGCACATTAAAAATAGTTTTAAATACCTAGTACTTAATTTTATATACATAATAATAAACTGTATTAACTTAATACCTCCAGAAGGCAACGCTACAGCATATACCAGCACAAAAACCTTCTTTGATACAATGTAGTTGTTGAAATTTTCTTCATTTAATAAATGTTATTGTATTCACTAATTCCATGACTAGAGCTAGCTGCTGTTCTATGAAATGAGGCTACATTAAGGGAAGGAGTATTGTAATTGACATTTATGGAACCGGTAGGGTGGGGAGAAGCATTGTTATTAATAGCACTGTGTATAGGCCTTTTCCCAATTATAAGGGGAAAACATTCATCACTGATACCTGACAGAGCAGTCTGTATTCTATTAATTTTATTATAACACTCTTCGTAGTGATCTAATAAATATTTCAATTCTGTACTAATAGATGGATTCACATAAGTTTTTGAATTTTTATCTATAATTTTTAAGCCTTCTGTAGATGTAAATGCAACTTTTTCACCACAGTAGAAAAACATTTCAATATCTGTATTATTTTCCATTAACTGGCATTTGGCTAATTTGGAGTACAATGTAATTTTAGGAGTTTTAGCTTTTACAAGATCTACAAATCTGGATGCATATAAATATTTCTTCCAATGTTTCTGGGGCAAATTATGATATGTAAATATTTCGTCATGGCTTGGTTCACGATCTAAATTATGAAGGGTATTAACTTTATTATTATCTGCTGTATAAATGATTATTTTCATACCATCTTTAGTTATTTTACACACTTCTACCACTTTCTCTTCTCTATCTTTTCCTTTCTTCTTTATGAACTCAACAGTAACAGCTTCTGACTCAATTTTTAAAATTGCATTTCGAGTTCTGTGTGATATATTAGGCAACCTTTCTGCACATAATGGTGGCACCCCAATAGTATTAGAACCAACACTACAAGGTCTTGGGATGTTTTCTTTATTATCACTGCCACAAATGACAGCATTACATTTAATATCTAGCTTTCTAAGATTTTCTGTCAATAATGCATTACAATTATTGGAAACATTTGGAAGTCCTTGTGATGCTAAGGTACCAGTTGATGGAACCTGATTATTGAAATCTAAAATATCCTTTGAATTATCATTAATACCAAACCTATAATCATGACTATTGCAATGAGATGCTTGAGATTGTACACTTGAAAAAACATTGAATGTTGCTGGTTGTAATGTGTCCTGTTGTATTAAATTCATAACTTTTCCTTCTCTATTCATGCAAAGATAATCAGATGTTTTTTCTTCGTTCCTGATCTTACTGCTATGTTGAGTACTGTGTAATGTTGTCAGAAAACCAGAATCTCTTGAGATGTCTGGCCTTGCTATTGAATTATTAGTACCTGTATTTGTTAAGAAAGGATGTTCCATGATAGCTTTTAACGTTATTCTCTTTGTGGGGTCTTTGCACAAAAGTTTTTGTAACAAATCTTGTGCTGGATGTGACAATTCTGGTGGAATTTTGTAATCAGCATTTATAACTCTATTGAGTGTAGTTTTGACATGTTGGGTATGAAACGGAGGACTTCCTACCAAGAGGGTATATAACATACAGCCTAATCCCCACACATCAGCAGGTAATCCATGTAACTCTCTTGAAGCTACTTCAGGGGAAATATAATTAGGTGTACCACACATTGTAACATGTTTTTCATCAGGTCCATTTAGCTGTGTAGCCAATCCAAAATCAGCTATTTTCACTTTCAAATCTCTTGTTAGGAGTAAATTATTCAAAGATAAATCTCTATGAATTATATTATGAGTATGAAGATATAATACTCCACTAAGGACCTGCTTAAAAATATCAGCTGCAGCTTTCTCAGATAGTCCACGAGTGCCTAATTTAAAATGTTTTGCTAATTCTCCATTATGTGCTAATTCTAAAACTAAGTAAACATAATGGGCATCTTCAAAAAATGTGTATAACTCTAATATAGCAGGATGCTTTAGGCGAGAGTGAATAGTAACCTCTTGACGAACCCTTCCAATCATACCAGCACTTGCCATTAGAGCTTTGTCTATCATTTTGATGGCTACAAATATGCCTGTGTAGCGACATCTTGCCCGATAAACATGAGCAAACCCACCTTTGCCAAGATGTTCTAATACTTCATAGTCCTCAATTTTTTCCCCAAATGTGCTCATTTTCTTACAGAATATGTTTATCATGAATGTACAAATACTTTTTGTATCTTCTATTGATGCAACAACTTATTGAATCCATTATTTTGTGGTATACTAAAAACAAATAAAATTTGTTAAACTTTGAAAGCATTATAATAATATTTTAATATATTGACTAGATGACCTGGTGTACTTCATATCATCTCTCCTTGTTTAAGCCTTCCCTGGACTACATCAAACATTTCAATACCAAAATCAACCTAATTAGCCCAGCAGTTCTCGAGTTTTAGCAAGACAAACAGTAAACATATAATATATAGAAGAAAAATGGAAACTGCTACAATATTTAACTACCTTGCTCACAATCCACTTTGCATCCTCAATACTTTTATGAATTATTTCTTTGACTCTTACTGGGTCTGGTTCAACTCTATGTTGCTTATAACTCTGAAAAGATTAATATAGTAATTATTATTGCAAGAAACTTATTAAGCATAATTTTTTTTAATATGAATGTTATGAACCAAGCATTAAAGATTTTTTATTTATCAGAATAATGACAAGCTACTAAGAGCAAAATACTTTGTTTAGTTTACTAAAGATGTAAACTTTCTAAATTACTACATTGGTGAACAATGCCAGGTGGTATTTGGGCAATCTGATAAATACTTAATACATAGGCATACTGTACAGGGTATGGAAAGAACAACAAATTGTACTATTACATTATTCGGCAACAAAAAGGTAGTAAAATTTCATTTATTAATTTTGGAATACATAGATGGAATACATTTGGAATAATTAATGGTTAGTTGCATAAACATCCATCAAGGTTTAGTAACGCATTTAAGATCTAATTAATATCAAATTTGTATAGGTAATCTCGCTGTAAACTAATTTATGCAACAGAGATATACAGCCATCTCTTAAGAACTGAATTGCCTAAAATATTAAACCTAGAAATTATACTTTTTTACCTGACTGTTATGTTTTTCACTCATATTTTGTATTTATGTATGTACAGAATAATGAATATTACAGAACGGCTGAACATATTTAGATAATTGTGGTATTTTGGAGATTTGTCTCAGTAGCCCAAGTGTTCTTAGATAGGTAACATTAAAAATATCAAATATGACAGCTTTGCAACATCATTATATTAAACAAAAAAAAAAAACAAATTGTTTCAAATACTACAACATGAGCATCAAACTAATGGGCTTAATACAAGGCTTTGAAAAAGTAATATCAACAGAATACACAGGGTTGTTTCTTCTAAAGCTGAGGTTATTCTGCTATAAAAATAATAAAAATTGTAGCATAATACAACCTTCAATTTTACATCAGACATGATGGACATTTTAAAGAACATCCGGTTAAATTGATTATTTCTATAGCTTTCATCACACTGCCCTCTCACATTGAGCATTTATTATACTGTCTTATTAATAAACTTGGTACATAACATTTAGTAATGCTGAGTTAAAATACCCACCTGTTTGACTGCAAACTTATAATGTTTACAAGCATCAGGAGGTAACTTTTCACACTGGCGTAGCAAGTATTTATAAAGTTGCAGTGATGTCATAACAGTTCTGGAGTCATTTGATAAGGTTGAACAGGAACGCAACATTAATAAATGAATCTTGAAGTTAGTTCTAATTTAAATCACTAAAGAATTTCAGAATATGAGTTATGTAATTGTATTTATTAGTTTAAATTTCATACCACAGCCACAGAGTGTACATTTATTTCAAACTATTTTCACTTCACAAAGCGAAACAGCAAGTGATGAATACAATCATGAAGAATAATGAGAACAAGGCTTAAATTATTTGCCAAATATAAATTTGACACCGTAATTATCACAATAAAGTAAATTCAACCATTTATTTGAATAATAAACAAGTCAAACGTCAGACGAAATCACCACAGGCATCAATATTTAAAAAAAAAATTAAGTTGGCTTCTATCTATGGCCCTCAGCCTATCAACAAAGTGTTACCAACTTCCAACAAAATAAAACCCTAAAATCAAACCCAAATAACTCTATACAGGGAGGAACAAAATGACCGACACAGCCGAAAGTTTCAAGTTAGGTTATATGCAAACGTTCATTTTATTTGACAAATATTTAAAAATAGAGGAGGTGTAAAAATGGAGTAAACATTTTAAATTTCTAAGTGTTGACAGTCCTTTAACGCGCATGCGCAATATCGATTGTGTGCAGATTCCAACGGACCGCGAAATACATTAATTTAATTTAATTATCTTAATGATAGTCGATGCTGAAAATGTTCAATTCGGGTGGGCGGGGCTTTGATATTGAGGGACGAACTCGGTTCATATTTTTTTATTCGTCTTTTGATATCACTCATTTTTTAAAGTTCTTTTTAAATGCTATTTTAATAACAAATTCCTCAATGTTTTTAAAACAAAGTTCATTTGTGTTAATGATGAATCGCTGGAAGATTTGTGAGTTTATCGAGTTTAGTTAACGATCCCGTTGTTAAAGGAGTATTACCCCATTCAAACATTTTTTATGGAGAACTGCTCTTTTAAAATAACGTAGATTAATGTTAGAGTGATCTCTCTACAATAATTTAGGAAATTTTACACTCGGTTTCTTAATTGAGTATGTAAAGTTAAACGTCTCAAACTAAGATCACTTAGTTTTCGTTTCCGATTTTAGTTTTTTGATGATCAGTTGATAGCAGTTTGATAAAACTAAGATTATTTGACTTGTGAAATTAAAAAAACTTAGGTTATTGAGAATAAGCAGTAGAAATTTTCTTCTTTTTTCAAATCATAAACCGGCTGTTAGTCTGTTAATCGATTTAAGCATTTTGACTGCCTTGTTTATTGATTGACTGCTAGAATTTGCATGAAAGCAGTCTTATAAATCACAAACTAGTTTATTTTGTTTTTAGAAATGAAGAAGTCAATGACCGATTAAAAACTTTTCCTTAGTACGTCCCAAAAACAGCTGACTCAGGGTTGAAAACACTAATTTTTATTTAAAAACTTTGTAATTTAATATCTCCGAAACTATTTGTCCTAGACTTATAATTTTTTTTTACATTATATTAAAGACAAATAGTACTCTCCAGGAACCTCGGGAGTGTCGGTCGTTCTGTTCCACCGAGTATAACCCTGAATGTTTTGAACTAGTAGAAACTCCTTTTTTTATAATAATGTAATTAACAAAGACTTGACTAGTGCATTTATAAATATTTTATTTTCAACAGTTGTCATGTGTCAATGTGTATCTAATAAAGAAGTACAGAATATAAATTAATGTGTTTTTGAAAGTTCGCGCAAAAAATAATTAATAAAGATCCTAACAATCCTCACCACTTCACTGCTAATAAAGTACTGTTACTTTATACTTCATCAGAATAGCATAATCAAAAGCCCCAAAAAAGCTCTGTCCTACCTGTATTACCCGTATGGTAAGCCCGTATTTAATGGTATCGTTTAAAAAAAATCTCATTTTTTCTTTTTTATCTCTCCTCTCTCATTACCACTCACCTCCAGAGACCGTGTATCAACAGCATCATCACCTGCCACCCATCCCTTCGCTTTATCCTAATAACAACAAATTTACTTTTGCACACATTTTAACAGACGATTACAAATATTGGAACGGCCCCACGATTTTATGTGAACATAGATATTTCCACAAAATGAGTATTTTATGTGTTACTTTATTTTGAAAATGTATACATATTGGCACCTATGACCGTAACCTTTCATTTATTTTTTAGCTTTTAGTACATTTATCTGCAACATTTTTCTGTTTACAATAAAACCGTTTAACTTAAAAAGTTGTTTTTTTTTATTTTGAAGTTTTTAGTTTTTATTTCTTAATCTATTTTTATCCACCCTAATGCCATACAGTTCTCAGCGCGCTTTTACTTTTACCTTAACTTGAGTGGTGTACCCCTAGCGACGTATCATTTTTAGCCACCCTAACGCCACACAGTCCCCGACAGAATACGAGATCTTGACTTGGGTGGTAGATTCTAATTTTGATTTTGTATATTGAACTGTATTCTACTTAACATTACCTTTCATTTGATATCTATATTGATGGGATTAAAAAAAAATAAGTTGTCCGCCATCTTGTAGCGGCGGCTATCTTGGATTCACAATAATATTGAATGTACATAATTGTATTGCCACCAAAATCAAAGGCATATACCAAATTTCAGATCAATCAGTTGACGGAAAGAGGGTGAAATTACAATGAGGAAGTATAAAAAAAAAACAAAAGCACTAAAAAAGCACCTCCACTAGATGGCGACTCCAGCAAAAGTTGATTTTTGCAGGAAAAGAATGGACCAAAGACAGTCATTTCCGTTTCTTTTAACTAAAATGTTAAAAACTGAAATTTGCAAAGTTCGAAAGTTAGATATCAATACAAACACGAAAAAGTACAAATAGAATATGAGTTGTTTATTGAGTTTTGAAAACTTATTTACTTTTATATATGAATGAAAACCGGAAGGGTTGTCATGGAGAAACCAAGAATGTACCGTAGCGACATCTAGTTTGATTTCTGGAACTTTTTTTTTTAATATTTCCTCATTACTAAATTTGACCCACCACGAACGAAACAAACGGGATAAAATAAATAAAACCGTTTAATAATTTTAAAAAAGTCCATTTAGTTTATTTCCGCCCTAAATTTGGGGCTATAAGCCCTAAGTTGGTAAACCTGTATCAGCAGCAATCAGATTACATCACAGACTTAGGAGGAGATACTTCATATAATCTAAGATGCAACGAAACATAAAATATCGTTATCGATAATAATATATTAAAACATGAAGAATGAAGTCCACGTGGATTTTTAGCCTTGAAATTGGAAATAGTATTTAATTATTATTTTTTGTGTTTAATTTCACAAATACATGTTCCTCCCAATCCAATACCAATCTATTTAAAGGGGACGATTTCTACTTAACGATGGCTATTAATGTTGACACTGACACTGTCCCATGACACAAAATTAGATACCAAAGGCACAAAGTAGACAGTCATCCGGTATTTTTGCAATACAATAAAGGAGTGACTAACAAGGTTTCTAATATTCTTAATACATACTCAGTAAATGCTGTTTTCACTCCTTTACGAAAAGTGTTTGCACAACTAAGGCCGGAGATCTTGTACTAACAAGAAACTCAGCAAGGGCTGCTTTTTTAATTTCAACTATACAAGTCAACTATATTATATTTGAGGGAACGTAACGAACTAACGCACACGACACCACAGCCGATATTTTTAAGAGAGCATGACAACTCTATGTACTTAGTAAATAATATATGTATTTCAATAAAACTGATTTCGTGAGTAGGTTGTGTAGGAAGTCAATCTATTATTAACAATTTTATTGTAAGAACCAAAAAGCACATACCCACCGCACGAATTAACTTAACACATGGCTCGACGTCCGCCGTCGACATGCAAGATCAGTAGCAATAGTATATATAATAACCGAACGTGTCTTTGTGATTTTGAAATTTAAAGTTATAACCTTGCTGTTCATTTAGAACATACGTCTTAATTTCGAAAGCACAAGTTATTTGCACGTTACTCTTTGCACAAACGTCATTTTAACCAGAAGTCATGTTATTTTCTACAAATACCTAGTATATTTGATACATATCGGCTAAATATATAGATAATAAACGATTTTTTGTTATAATTATCGTTTTAATGACTTTGTTACTGATTCATAATCCCTATTCATTCATTCACCATACATAATATAAAAATATTATTGAGACTTGATGTAGTTTTGTTGTTGTAAGTTCATCAAACAACTAATAGCAATAAAACTAACTTACCTAGTTGTTATTGTTTTCAGAATTTCTAAATATATTTTTTTTTTTCTAAATATTATAATGAAAAATTGCTAGACCTACTATGGCATAAGTATTTTATTTATAAAAACTATTTGGCGGTAATATTATCGTATACCGTAGCTAAATGCCACTTTTAATTATATCACAGCATTAATTCAATTGATTTCCATAAATTATAAAAAAACCCTCTGTGCTCACTTCCATTATGTTAGTTGCCATTTTCTTCTATACAAATAAAAAAGAGATTTATTCAAAGATTACTTTGTATAAATAGAGTTGCGCATGCATATCTCGAACTAATAAAATTTCAACTCGATATTAATCAGATACATAACAACACTAACAATTCTATTCTCTATGGTTTAACGTCATGAATCGTTTAGATCCACGAATGGCTCTTTTATGACTACTTATCAACTAAGTCTGTGCTACTTATTATCTCTCCGCATTCCTCTTCCTACCTCCATATTATTTCTTTTATGTACTAACGATACTAATATTTATCACACCTTAGCATGTTTTATAACTAAAAATAACATAAAAATATAAATATTTTATATATTACCATAATTTTTTATCCTTTATCCTTTCCCACTATCCAAATACTAACTTCTATAAACATCCGAGTTCCTTTTCTAATTGTTTTCCTACCTTTTTATATCTGACAGGCTAAATTAAACTGGATTGCGTACTGATATATTTCTTAAAATCAAACTTACACTTTATCTATTATAAAATAAGACTTATTTATCAATGTCACATT